CTCGTCCAAGCAGTCACTGCAGAGTCAGCAATGACTGAGCGCAGACAAAAAAAAAAAAAAAAAAAGCGACACACGTACATGTATGGGTACACGTGTCTGTATGTGCATCAGTAAGAAACCACTTTCCAAAGAAGAGGTCCAAGACAAAAAGATTGTCAAATGAATTAATAACAGATGAAAACTGCCAGCAAAATAAAGAAGCAAGCTAACCGATCTCCTCTGCATATACCCACCATTCACACTCTCACACATATGCATATGTATGTGCAAACAGGCTCCTCTCCCTCCTTCCAGCAGAAACAAGAAAAAAGAAGAAAACATGAAGAAGTGACTGCTCTGGAGAAAGAAAGAAAAGCTGGAATAAAACTGGAAATGAAGTGAGGGAAAGAAGTACAGGTGGTCCTTGCTTAACAACCACTCGTTCAGTGACCATTTGAACTTGCAACAGTACTAAATGAGTGGTATTTATGACTGGTCCTCGGAGTTCTGGCCACTGCAGCATCCCACGGTGATGTGATTGCCATTTGCAACCTCTTTGTTGGCTTCCAACAAGCAAAGTCAATGGGGAAGCTGGCAACCATGTGACATCTTTGCTTAATGACAGCAACCAGGAGTGCCAGAATTGCTGTCCCTAAGCAATGTAGTCATGTGTCATCATGCTTTACGACCAAATTGCTGTTGTTAACCGAGGACTACCTGTAAGTGGATAAGGAAGAGGAAAAAAAGACATAATCCCTGTTTAGACCATAGAGGAAGAATAAAACATTGACAAGGACAGCAGCAAATGTCAGCCACAGTCCCCAAAGTCCACTGGTAGAGGTCCAGTTGGAGGAATAGTTGGTTAGTCTACAAATGTATAATGTCTGCAGTCACTTGTACCTCCCCTATAATCCTTCATTTTCAACTGGAGCTTCTCTTCTCAGGAAATTAATGTAAGGCAAAGTGCTAACAACCTGAATTCATTGCAAATTATTTGGGGAAAAGAAAACTCATTTTCCCATTTGGTAATTAGGGTACATGGTAAAAAAAATGGTGTCATTGAAATATCCCACTGCGTACACAGGAATTGTTTTTTTGTGGTTGAATAGATGCCATCTAGTTGAGAGAGAGTCCAGGTACTGCATGAATAAATGCCTGGCATCTCAATTTGTCTCTATTAATAGATCACACCTTTTTCAAGGACTTTTCTGAAAGCACCTTGATTGTCCATCCTGTTGTCTTCCCCTTCTTCCCCATCCTTCAACCTTACCAGGCATAATCATTTCTTTGAGACTGTCATGCATTTGTATCCAACTTCTACATGCTGTTCATCAGCTCTGAACTGGAGTCCATGAAGTTCTTTCCACAGTCAATATGTTTATTTGATTTTCCCCGGTGTGGATCTTTTTATGGGAAGTAAGTTGACAGTTCCAAGTAAAGCTCTTTCCACATTCCATGCATTTATAGGGTTTCTCTCCTGAGTGGATCCTTTTATGGGAAATAAGATTACTCCGCTGATTGAAGCTCTTTCCACACTCCATACATTTATAGGGTTTCTCCCCCGAGTGTATACTTTTATGGGAAATAAGATTACTTCTCTGACTGAAGTCCTTTCCACATTCCATGCATTTATATGGTTTCTCCCCTGAATGGATCCTTTTATGCAAAGTAAGATCACTGTTGGTACTGCAGGTCTTTCCACACTCTGTGCATTTATATGGTTTCTCCCCTGTGTGGATCCTTTTATGGGAAGTAAGGTGACTGCTTATAGTGAAGCTCTTTCCACACTCCATACATTTATATGGTTTCTCTCCAGTGTGAATCCTTTTATGGAAAGTAAGGTGACCACTCTGACTGAAGCTCTTCCCACACTCCATACATTTATATGGTTTCTCTCCAGAGTGGATTCTTTTATGTGAAGTAAGCTGACCATTCTGACTGAAGTTCTTTCCACATTCTGTGCATTTATATGGCTTTTCTCCAGTGTGAATCCTTTTATGGGAAGTAAGCTGTCCACTCTGACTGAAGCTCTTCCCACACTCCAGACATTTATATGGTTTCTCACCTGAGTGGATCCTTTTATGGGAAGTAAGGGAACTATTTTCACTGAAACTCTTTCCACACTCCAGGCATTTATACGGTTTCTCACCTGAGTGGATCCTTTTATGGGAAATAAAATGGCTGCTATTGTTGAAGCTGTTGCCACACTCCATGCATTTATATGGTTTTCCTTTCATATGGATGCTTTGATGCAAAGTAAGAGGGATATTCCACTTGAAAGTTTTTCCATCTTCCCTGCATTCATCTTGGGTCTCTTTCATATGAATTCTGGTATGCTCACATAAATCTGATTCCTCTCTAACTATTTCTCCAAACTGGAAACACATTCCTTTGTGATCTTCTTGGGTCAGGAAAACATGCACATCTGGATATTGAGAGGTAGAGGATTTTTGCAGCTCACAATTTAACTGGTTTTCCTCAGGCCATTGTGGTTCCTGCTGATTTTGAAACATCTCTTCTCCAGTTTCAGTTTTGACTGTTTGGAAAGCTGTCTCTTTATAATTCTCATTCTCCCATCCATCACCTGTTGGGCCAAAAAGAAAGAAAAAAGTTCATGAGAAGTTTAAAGCACAACTTGAGAGTGCTGTCAGGAATCAAGCCTCATTAGCTGCATCTTTTACTAATATTTCCCCATTGATTCTATTCCATTTTTTAAATTATAGTTCCAGTCCTTCCTTACCAAGATCCCCATGCACACATTCCTTCTACATCTTGACACTCAACTATCCTGAGACATTATATTACTTCTTTCTATCAGCCCATCTTCCAGTAAATGGGGCTGGGGACTACTGTTTCATACCGAAGCAGTTGACAAGTGATGGTTCCACCTTGTTCCCCATCCAGTCCAATGTTTATATTTCTTAATATTCAGTTTCAAGCACGTAGGAAGACAAGCTGACAAGCTGAATTTAGATCAAAATAAGAGATAGGTGCTATTGCTATACAGGAAACTCAGCATGAAAACTGAGATTCCATCTGTTTTGGATGAAGTTGCATGCTCTGGATAAAAGTTGTACAGAATTGGGGAGTCTCCTTGATGTTGACACTACATTTCCAGGCAGCAGCTTCAAGATGAAGGTCTTGGGGCAAATGGAAAAGAGAGACACTTGAATGGGTGCTCACACTTCCTGAGAACCCAGCCAAGCAGAGAGCAGAGCCTACTTATCACACGTTCCATCCTACAATAAGCAGTATCAGGGCTACCAAACCCCATCATTATGCCCAGAAAAACAAAAGGCACTCCTAAGGTGATCTGCAAACTAGGGAAAGCAGGACAAGAACCTGGCTAAGGGTACTCTCTCTACAAAGATACCACATAGTCTTTAGCCCTTCCCGCAGTGAGTGGGAAGACCAGTTCAGTTAAGGATATCCTTCTCCATATAAGAAAGGAACAAACCAACATTTCCTCTTAGAAACATATCAAGCTGGTTATTTTGTACTAGAAAATACCTTCCCCAGCTATTTGAATGTAAAACAAAGAGGAACCCTTACCCAAGGAGGCCAGATTCCTAGCATTTTCCAGCATGACCTCCCTATATAGGTTTTTTTGGTGGAAATCCAGTAGAACCCATTCCTCCCCAGAGAAAAATACAGCCACATCATCAAAAGACAGGGGAACCTGTAACAGGAAGAGAACATTCCCCTATAAATGAAGAGTTACTGGGAGTATTTGTATGTACTCTTTTAATGAACAAATCCCAACACCAGAGTTTCCCCCTGTGGTAGGTAAATGAGCACATTCTACAGACAAACTTTGTGATACTAAACGGGCAGAACTCAAGCTACTGATTGGAAAATGCTTTATTGATTCTACTGACTCTGCACCACACATTTGATGGCACTTCAAGCCCATTTGATGGTAGCAACTTCAATATGCCTCTTGATCAACTGATGCAACAGCCATGATGATCCATTAAATAGGGACTCCAGACCACCCTGGAAAGAGGTTTCCTCAATTAAGTGCTGAGTGACATTTTAACTAATGGCTTACATTGTCCCTCAGATATCAACACAGTTGTTATTCAACAGCTCAGTGAAGTTGTTGGGAAATGACTTCCAGGAAGTATTATGAAATGCCTTCAATTAACAGATGACATGCAGCCCTAGGTGGGCTCCCATCTACTTACTGGGAAACTGCTCATGCTCTAAAAATTGAATAGATGGGAGCTAATAAAGTGAAAGAAACTGGCTGTGCCCATTTTTGATGAAATTGGATGCCCCTTGAATAATTCTAATTTGCTTGGGGGAGGGGATAGTCCTCCTACCTGAGCTGGAACTATAACTACTGTTTCTGCTCCACCATAAAGAGGTATTTCCACAGGTGCCATCAGTGACATACCATTTTCTGAGAGTGAGATAAAAGAGGAGCAAGTACGTGTTTTAGAAACATCAAAAGAACCACACACAAAGCTATTCTTGCACTCAGGTCTAAAGTACTTTTCTGAAAGAAGCTCATGAATGACAGTAGCTCAGGCAGTGTGAACAGAAGGAACCCTTCTTTACCTGATGAGGTGTTCTTAGATGGATCTTCCTGGGAGATCCCCCCCAAGTCCAACTCCTGAGAGGGATACAGCACATCCCCCCATGCTTCAGAGTGTTCAACAGCCACCTCTGTGAAGGGCTCCTGAATCTGAAATAGTAGCCAAGAGAAAAGGGAAAAGAGTGCATTTCTGCCCAATATTTCCAATTTCACAGCCCCTTTTGAATCTTTTCACATGTCCTGGCAAATTACCAAAAAGAGACCTGAAGAGAACATCAAATTTCCTACTGGTGTTATTAGGTCCCAGAAGGGAAGCATTTAAGAATTCAGTAACTGTTTTTCATGCTGTGACCCTTTTGATTACACCTAGTGATATCTTCTTACCTGCAGTTCTCCCTGCTCCTTCTCCTCTGCCTGGCTTAGGAGGAAACCTTCTGCGAGGGCTACTGCCTGGGAACTGGTCTCTGCTCTGCATTCCTTGACCCAGCATTTCATCTCCAGGGGCAGGATGGCCAAGAATTGCTCCAGGACCAGGAGATCAAGTATCTGAGCTTTTGTGTTCCTTCCAGGCTTTAGCCACTGACCACAAAGATGGTGGAGTTGGCTGCAAACCTCTCGTGGCCCCTTGCCCTCCTTATAACAGAGGTCTCTCAAGCGTTGGCACTGACCAGCCAAACTGATGTTTCCTTCATCCTGGTTCTTCTGCCCAATTCTCTCTCCTTTCAATTCAGGCTGTGCAGCGTAAGGAAATCTTCCATCCCCTGGTGGGTACTGTAGATCCATTTTGTCTAAGCAATGTTTCTCCTTGATCTCCAGGTTCCTTTCTTAACAGGATGTAAACTACACAAAGTGGCCCTCAGCCTTCTTTGTTCCTGCGTCTGTTCCTGTTTTGCATAAAGAAACTCATGAGCAATACAAGATACTTCCAGAGATACAGAAGAAAACAAATAGAACTACAGAGAATCTTGTTCTCATTCATCAATAAATCCCCCCAGCTCTATGGAAGAATCCCTGTAAACTGGAGACATGAATCCATTTCCCACTCACTGAGAGCCTGGAACATCTCTGGTCTCTGCTGGAAGGGGCATGTAGGGACTGTGATTGAACTTGTAAAGAGAAACCTTGTGCTTCATCCAGCCAGAGCTCCATCCACCCAGTGCCTGATCACCCCAAGTGGCAGCAGCAAACTCCCTTTCCATTCATGCCATGGAAAAGCATATCGGACATGCACGGGCAACCCAGAGAGCAAGAAGCCACCCATGAAATGAGGAGGAGAGGAAAGATGGAGAGCTCCCAGTTTGGGCCTGGACCTGGGGGAAAGTCCAGCTCTCCTGGAGAATCTTGTCCTGGAGATGCTGGGGGCCAGCCTGGGGCCTATCTGCAAAATGCAAAGTGCAAACCGCCCCCCCCCCCCCCCCCCCC